ACACTTTGCAAAAGTGCGGAAAATGGCGGGGAGGGACCCCTCATTTTACGCCCACGAAGCGAGACCACTACCACTAGGTCACGTGGGCGTTTGATATGGAAGCGACGAGTTCGCATTTCCAATTGACACTACTGTCGAGCAAAATTCGGGCCCCCATAACTTTTTAAGGAGAATCATTTTGCAGTTTTAATTTCCATTTTCGTAAACAGCATTCGAAACTCTATCGATTTATCTGGGTCTGAATTCAAAGTTCCAAGATAAGTAGACTACCCCTCCCTGGTTAGATCCCTTATCTTCTCTTATCAGTTATGATCAGTTCCTTTCACCGAGTGCCAATGATCTCGTCATATCCTACATCAATCATCGAAATGCTGATTCCGCTGTTAATACGAAAAGTGTAATCCTACCAAATTCTAACGCTCTAGGTCTGCGTGAACAGAAGTTATGAATTTGCGGCCCAAAACTTTTATCGCGCGCGCCTCGCCCCCTGTTAGCGGAGTCCGGTCCTTCCGCTTACCGTAAGTGTTCCCAACCTGCCCTCCGTACTCCTACCAAGTTTGAACGCTCTAGGTCCACATGCCCACACAGGAATTTTCGGTGAAACACACACACACACTGACACACCGACAAACCAACAGAAATACTTAGCGAATAATGTATAGTAGGATTGTTCACTAAACTACTAGATCTCTTTTACACGGGCAAGAAGCTATCTCTTCGGGAATTCAACTTGCAGATCAGGAGTGATCACTAGTTGTGTTTCCCATGCCAATAAGCTTGTTAGAGAACAAAACATCCTCTGTTACTTGGCGATTCACTGAAAATCGCGTTCGCAGAAAACCATCTTTCCCATTGTGGACTACGCTAAGTAGAGCACGCACACTTCTTGCACATTGACAATCTCACCATCGCTGTACAAAACCACGCATCACTCTGATTGACGAAACGCACTCACGATCAGCGTGGCGTCGGATCACATATACACATACCTCGTGCAGGACCACCGCACCCGTGCTGACAGACACATCACTCCATCACTAGTTTAAGTTTCCACGTATTACCCCTGTGCTCTAAAACTTATGTATTTCTTACTCATTTTTCACTACTCATCTATGCTTGTGCACGTATTCACTTCACTCTCATTCCTTTTTTTTTACTAAAGGGCCGTCTAGGTCCATATATTAGGGGAGTAAAAAGTTTCAGTCTTTTCCTCATATTTGATTCGAAAACTCTTATTCTCATTGAAAAGGGCCTCAATCAGTAATATATCCTGGGTCGTGGTCCACAACATGTTCCATGAACCAGCAGTTTTCCGATTTCTGAAGCCCAAACTGCGGCGGCCGCAATTCGAAAAAACCAGAAGACTCACTTTTGAGTTTCGAGCGATCACAAAATTTTCTATCGCGAAGGTGATATTTCAGAGCAAGAAAAAGACGGTAATTGGATGGAGCAAGATCTGGCGAACAAGATGGATGCTGCAGCACTTCCTGTCCAAGTTGGCAATTTTTTGATGAGACAGTTGTTCGCAACATGCGGTAGTTAATTCTCTGAAAGTGGTTCGTCACGAGGCAATAATGGGTTGGGATACGAAGTCTCGTCTGATTGCACCATATATCTGCTACACCCGTCTATGGATTATGCCCTTTCGGAAATTTGATAGCTCTCAGACAGTTTCGGTCGACAGTTGAATGTTGAAGACATAATTGCGAAACACAAGTACAGGGGAATATGCCCTTGTAAGTACGAGAACGGTCTCACAAAACCTATCACGAATTCTTCTCAAGTGGTCCTACGAGGGAATCTAGGGATCCTCTCATTTGCATCTTGACCCAAACCTTAGAGATCCTAGCAATGACAATATATTTTGGACTTTTGTACACCTTTGCACCTATGTACACTTTGGCGCACCGACTTTTGTACAACTGAGCAACCTGATTAGTCAACCGCAGCCTTGAGTGATACCTATTGTTGTTGATCAATGATAAAACCATTTTTATCTCACTATATATAACACGCTAAGTGTTATAGTGTGTTGTTGTTCTGTCAAGGTGTTTGTTTGTGTGTGTGTCGGTGTGTGTGTCTGACTAGATATTCATAGCTCCTGGTTTCGTGGGTCTAGAGCGTTCAAATTTGATAGGGCAACATGATAAGAACACCAATGGTAGAAAGCAGAACCAGAATCCGCCTACAGGAGGCGGGCGTTCGCGATAGGAATTTTCGATCGTAAATTAACAAATAGGGCGGAGGTGATGTAGCGGCAAGTGGCGCACTACATCACACGCACGGTCAGGGGTTCGAATCCCGGATCGATGTCCGGCCAACCAAGTCTTCNTCTGGGAGGATAAAAGCACTGACTTGTACATCGGCTGGCCACCGCAAGTCATTGTATAGGCCACATACGCACTCATTACGCCACTACGATTCCGAATGGAATCGAGTGAGGGGCCGCATCTCTCAGACGAGTTTGACGCCAAAAGCTTTATCCTTTATCCTTTGAATTAATAAATCCTGTACCAGCTAATCTGGAACGTTGAAACTGGGTAGGACTTCAGACAGCAGGATAGGAAAACTTATGGCAGGTAGAAGACCAAACCCCGCCCACGCTTGGTGTGGCTTGCGCGAAATAAATGAATGAGCAAGAATTCGTAATCCCTGTTCCCGTGGATGTAGAGTTCAAAATTAGAAGGATTACAGCTTTTCGTATCAACAGTGGAACCTCGACATTTCACTAAGTGATGTAAGATATGATGGGATCGTAGGTACTGGGTGACAGGAACCGATGACAAATGATAAGAGAAGATAAGGAACTTAAGAGAGCAAGAGCCACCTACTGATCAAAATCCTAACATCTTCGGTACTTAGACGTAGCTTTGACCGTTCAGTATGTTTCATTCGATGTAAAAGGATGGTAGAGGGGCAAAAGTGAGTGGAATGTGCAGTGATAGGGACCCATTGGATGCATTGAGATAAGCAGATAAGAATTTGGTTTATTTTTTACTATTAGATTAGGACTGCTACCCAGCAAGGATTACACAATGAAGGGTCCTCTTTGTTCGATACCATTTGTGTTAAAAGCTAGCCGACCTCCAGTAATCCGGAATTTTCAACTAATGATATCTCTGTAAAGGAAATGGTCCATTGAAAACGACATGTTATAATGGTGTTGTCCTCACTCGACACACTTGCGAGTACCACCCCAGGTTTCGGATGCCTGACAGTTGAATCTTCAATGGATGTTCAATTTCAAGAAAGAAAGAAAAGATCGATAATTCTGAAGACGCACTAACACTGAATACCATATGCACTGCCCTGCTAGTCCTGTGTCAAACTTCGTGACAGAAAATATTATATTATCTGTTTCAACGAAGAGAAGGGGAGTTGGCTGATTACTACAACTTCGCCAAAGAGCAGGGCATCCCGGCGCTAGCCGGGCGAACTAACTGGTAGTAAATAAAATAAGTCAACTGTCAGTCATGAAACACATGAAATCCAACCAAAAATTGAGTTGTCTCTAATGAAATCTTTTCATTTCGAACCACCAAATTAAACCGCAAAGTGGAATAATTAAACTCCTCGCAGTATAAGCCAATACCGAAGAATCATAATTTTTCTGAATCGCAAGTATCCAAGAACTCTGCAAGTCGATAAGGTTTGCGTAAACTTTATCGAAATCAATCAAAGAACCAATAGAATCATTACAGGTCAATAGAGGATGTACAGATGACAGCGAGCAACTGTATTCAGACGAATGTCAGTTGAACCAAGGATGGCCAGAGCGCTTTTATATGTGAAATGGTTCGACCGCGATGTCCGATCAAACCATTTGCCTTGTATGTACGGAAATTTTGTATTTTCTTTGCATCAACGTCTTCTCTGAATCATTCATTAAATTGATTTTAACATTTACAAAGTAAAACGGAAAAATTTATCGGTACCCATTAATTTTGTGATCTATAAGGCGATCTGAAAGCGTTAACGATTTTAGATTCTGCATGCAATAGGACAGCGATTCAAGATCATCACAGCTAACTATGCAACCATTGAATGACATCGTTGTAACACCGGCAAATAGCGAACTTGCTTCAAGACGACTCCTCTAGAAAGACAGCAGATTAGATTCTCATTATATCGGTACCCTGGTACCAAAAAAAGGATCATGAACAAGTTGAATAAAAAGGAATGGAACGATGTATTGTAATTGACCATTCAATATTAGTAGTGAGTGATTCGTTTCGCGACTGTCAGATGATCACTTTCGACACTTGTGTAAAGATCGGGCACTTGGGAAGGCAACCATGATCGGTTGCTCTAGTCACAGCCAAAAACTTACTTTCATGACTAACGAGACACTAAACTTTTGCTTTGGATATCAAAAAAAACGTCTAAAGCCAAGTTGCGGGAGCGAGATGGGGAAAAGTACGAAATGCAAGGTCAGTAGCTTGCCTATACTACGCATGCTTAGTCAACATCCTCCGTGAATATCCAGCAGCGCTCAAAAGTCTTCGGTGAAATGCTTTCACGCTTTTTCGTTCATAACTTTTTTCTTAGACCAAATCGCGCGAAATTTGGATATGTTTGACTAGAGCATATTTCACCCTACCCAACACAATTTGACTGCGATGATGCAACATCCACGGGTAACGGAACTTCTCCCCTATCGCGGCATTCTCCCTTGCGGCTTGCGGCAAATGTCACTGCAATTACCGTACTCCCGCCAATCGATAGGACGCGGAATTTTTCGTTGATTGCCTTGCTTTTTTATTAGATTTAATCGTTTTTTCTTCTGTTTCTTTTTCGTTTTCGT